AAACAGAACTTTCTCAAAAGAAGAAATTCAAATGTCCAAAAAAACACATGAAAAAATGCTCACCATCTCTACCAATAAAGGAAATGCAAATTAAAACCATACTAAGATTCCATCTCACCCCTGTTAAATAGCCATGATTAGCAACACCACCGACAACAGGTGTTGGCAAGGATGCAGGGAAAAAGGAACCCTTTTACACTGCTGATGGGAATGTAAACTAGTACAACCACTCTGGAAAAAAATTTAGAGGCTTCTTAAAAATCTAAACATAGATCTACCATATGATCCAGCAATACCACTCTTGGGGATATACGCAAAAGGCTGTGACACAGGTTACTCCAGAGGCACCTGCTCACCCATGTTTATTGCGGCACTATTCACAATAGCCAAGTTATGGAAACAACCAAGATACCCCACTACTGATGAATAGATTAAGAAAATGTGGTACTTGTACACAATGGAATTTTACTCAGCTATGAAGAAAAATGAAATCTTATCATTTGCAGGTAAATGGATGGAACTGGAGAACATCATTCTGAGCGAGGTCAGCCAGGATCAGAAGACCAAAAATCGTATGTTCTCCCTCATATGAGGAATTTAGATCTAGGGCAAATGCAGCAATGTTGTTGGACTTGGATCACAAGACAAGGGGAGAGCACATATGAGAGATATAGGAATAGGTAGAAAACCCAAAACATGAAAGCATTTGATGTCCCCACTCCGGAGGAACTGACACAGAAACCTTAAAACGACAGGTTATCCCTAGCAGAGGATCAGGAACCAATGTAAAGATCAGTTAGAGTTGAATCAACAAGGGTTGTAACACATGTGTACATGAAAGCAATAGTAGGAATCTCTCTGTATAGATATCCTTAACTCAACTAGCAAAAACGCTTTGTCTTCCTTATTATGCTTATGTCTTTTCTTCAACAAAATCAGTGATAAGGGCAGAATGGGACCTGCTTGGAACTGAGGGAGGGAGGGGGGGAAGGGTGGAGGAAGGGGGCAGGGTTGAGAAATGACCCAAACAATGTATGCACATGTGAATAAATGAACAAAAAAAAGGTAATACAAAAGAATCCACATATTTCTTAAGTATACAAATTAATGGCATTACTCCAGATTGCAGAAACCTATGCCCATTGGAGAAATGACTGATTCTGGATCTGGGACAACCAATTTTGTATTTTTCTTGGCTTTTCTTGACTTTGCTCACAAGAACCTCCAGCACAATGTCAAAGAGTAGCAATGACCTCAGGTCCGCTTGTTGTTTTCCTGACACTAGTGGAATGCTTCTAGAGTTTCTGTTAAATGTTTAGTACATATACTGTGTCAAGTTGCATGCCAGTCATTTGTCTATTTGCTTTCAGGTCTACTCCTACTTTCTTGCAGACTTCTCCATTTTTCAGAGTTGGAAACCTGAAAACTACATTAATCTTTTCCTTTGTCAGATGGTTTCTGATTACATTTTGTCAATAGGAGCTACTAGTGAAAGCTGGGAGGAAGGGAGAAATGGTGTCTTATCTAAATCTTGGTTTCTGGTGGTGTCTTCAGTAGTGGTAGCAACAGCAGAAAATGTGCACACCTCCAGGGTTCCTGGTTAGCAATGCAGTTCCAGGAAGCATTAGAGGTCTCTCTGTGGGACACTTATGGGCTCTAAGTTTTCTTTCTTTCTTCTTAAACTCTTCTATCTCTTTTGCAATCTTTTTCCCTATATCGAGCATGCTGGGTTTGCAATATTTAACATGGTTCTGATTTAAGAGTTTTTCTGATTGGACATTGAAATACCTTGTTTTCAGCTGACTAGGAAATTAATTTTTTTTAAAAATCAGTTATGGGTATTGAATTTTATCAAGTATATCTTGTGAAATCTGTTAAGATGATCATGTTTGTCTTTCCTTTAACAACAGACAACAGAAGAATTCTTAACAATAAATCATCCTTGCATTCTGAGGACAGCTCATACTCAGCTGAATTTTTCTTTTAATTCATTGCTTGGTTCAATTCACCAAAACTTAAATGAAGATTGTTAACACGTACAGGTAAGATTTGTCTGCATCAGGATGTGGGAAACCTTTTCTGTACAGGTCCAAAATTTGAATATTTTTGATTTTATAAGCTTCACACTCTCCTTTGCAACTAGTCAACTCTGCTCTTATAAAGCAAAGCAGGCATAATCAACACATAAATGAATGAGCACTGACTGTGCTCCAATAAAACTTTCTTTAGGGACATAGAAATTTGAATTTAATTTTTATGTGTCATAAAATACTATCTTTGAGTTTTTTACTACTTCAAAACCTAAAAACTATTCCTAGCCCATGGATCATATGAAACTAGGTGGCAGGCCAGATTTAGCCATAAATCATGGCTTTCAAACCTATAATCAATGAATCAATCAATCTATCCATCTTACTCTTGGGAAGGTAATCCTCAACTGGCTTTGGAATTGGTATTCAGGGAAATTGGAAGCTTCCCACTGTTTTCTATGATTTGGGATGGTTAAAATTACATGGGACCCACCATTCTGAAGGTAGCAGAACTATACTATTCAAGACTATTTAGGCTTGGTGGATTTTGGGGATTTAGGTAGCTGAATAACTTTTCCACTTTCCTCTAAAGAAGTTTCCCTAGTTACGAACTTTCAGCTTATGAATTAGTACAGACATGAAGCCATGCATCAGAGCAATCCATTGATTCTGCCACCAGATGATATGAGCATGGGTGACATGACCACATTTGTGTTTTGGAAAAGTCACTCTGGCTGAGGGTAGAGAATGGATTGGAGTTCAGCAGTGTGACTGCAGACAGCAACATGCTATTGTCTGTGTAAGAGATGATGATGACCTAGAATACTGTCATTAGTAGCAAAAGAAGGGAAGTAGGTAGGTTGTAGAAACATTTATCATAGGGGTTTGGGGTTTTCAAGACCACCCTTGGGTTCAGTGATTTGATAGGGAAACATAGGGCTGTGATTTATTATAGTGAGTGGATACAAAGCAAAATCAGCAAAGGTAAAAGAATACATGGAACAAAGTTCAGAGGAAACCAGGTACAAGCTTGCCAGAGTCTTCTTTTAGTGGAGTCACACAGAATATGCTTAATTCCTTTTACAGCTTTTGAGATGTAGCCTGCCAGGGAAGCTTGCCTGAGCCTAGGCATCAAGGGCTTTTATCCAGTCAATCATGTAGGCATCTTCTGCTCTAGCATGTATCAAAATTCCAGAATCCAAGAAGAAAGCAGATGCTCAGCAAAACCAAACTGGTGTGCAATTTATGCAGAGTGTGAGCCATCTATCAGAGAATGGGGAGAATTCTCTCAAGTTCAAGCTCTCTGATGCTAGCCAAGAACCAACTTTATATACATGTCTTTCAAAGGATACTGCTTTTAAACCTACTACTTTAACTCTGTATTACTTTTTTTTTTTTCAATACTGGACTTTGAACTCAGGGCTTACATCTTGAGCCATTCCACCAGCCCTTTTTTTGAGAAGGGTTTTTTCAAGATAGGGTCTTGGGAACTATTTACTGGGTTGGCTTCCAACCAAGTTCCTCCTGATCTCTGCCTCTTGAGTAGTTAGGATTACAGGCATGAGCCACTGGTGCCCGGCTTTTAACTGTTTCCTAACTCTTAACTATGTTTTCTGCACAGAAGATAAAAATCAATGTGTTTCTACTACATTTCCTACCAAAGGTTTTGTTGTATCTATTAAGGAATTTTTTAAGGAGTAAATAGAATGATATCTAGCTTTGGGAGACAAGGAATGGTCTCAAAGTGTTGTCACATTCCAGGTAATGGAGCAAAACAATACACAAATGTCTGCATGTTCAATAATTAATCAAAATATTATACATAGAGCACTTCCTCTGAAACTTACACAGGTCTAGGCACTGTAGATACAAATAGTGAGAATATCAAACATGGTCCATGGTCTGATGGAGCTTATAGTCCACTGGAGAGAGATATTAATAAAATAATCACAGAAAGAAATATTTAAAGACAAAAATTGAGAACTGTTCTGAAGAAAAGAGACGTACAATGAGTTCAAAACATGAGCATGGATATATTCTGAAAAAACAACAGAGAAGACTTTCTCAGGAATGGTCATTTGAGCTGAGCCCAGAGGAATGAGTGGACATTGACTGGGTGAGTTGTACATTGGAAGTGGTGAGGTAAGGAGTGGGAAGTAAAGTATTTCCAGCAGAGTGAGAGTTCTAGGGCTAATGTGTAAATGAAATTTGCCAAATCTCAGAGGGTGCTGGAGAAACACCACCAAAATTTTTTAATTTTCTGAAGTAGTTGCTGTATCTGCTTACAGAATTTCTGTATAGGAGCTCTGAAATTCTTTGGGACTAGTGATCACTTTCAGTCCTATGAGAAGAAATTGCAGAGGTGTAGCTGGGCTGCTGGGATATCAAGCATATCTGCAGAGTGGCTCAGGACAGAGATCTGGGGCCTTTTTTTTTCTTTTTTGATAAGCAGATAGTTAAAGAAGTGTGTTTTTTTCTTTTTCAGATCTACAATCTTCCATTTGTTATCTCACACCACAACTTCTTAGCAAGTCACTTCCTGTTCAGGGTGTTACTAAAACATCCTTCTGCCATGAACCTCCTGCTCTGTGGGAGCCACAAATCATTTTCCTCATTTAAAAGTCATTTGTTCCGTTCTTCCAAGTGCCACTGTGGGTGAAAACTCTTCAGTTCTCCAGTCTTAAACCCTAAAAGTATTTCCTGGGACCCTTTTCCTTTCCCAATACCTGGGCCCCCAATCCAAATTCAGCTCAACAAATATTGATAATGTTAGTGAAGGTGTGGCACTGTGAGTAAACAATGAGTAAGACAATGCCACTGCCGGGAGCTCATGGCTCCAAAGCACGTGATGTGTTTCTTCTTCATAAACTGATCAGGACATGTGTAGCCATGGGACTCTGCTGTGCTCTGGGTTCTTGCTATTTCTGGAATTGGTGTTCTCTGTCTCTAGCCTTTCAGTCTTCCCTCAGGGTCCCACTCATCTCTCTCACCTCAGACATCTTTTGCCCAATTCTCTGTCTTATGCCCTGAAGCCCTTGGTCTCTTTGTGTCTATTTAGGGTCCAGATTTTCAGACTGCACAGGGTTTTTGTCATTTCGACGGTCTCCTTTGTTGTTTCAATGACTTCATTTCTCCTTTTCTTGAAAAACAAAGTAAGACAAAGTAAAGATGCATTTTAAAATAGTATTTATTGTATTTACCTGATGACATGGAGCCTGTAGTCCCATTCTTAAGCACTTACAAGATAAAATTTATAGATAATACTTTTATTAACAGAAATTTACAAATGAATGAGATAAAAGGTGATGTAGTGAGGATAAAATATCCTCTTATAAAGATGACAGTTAGCTTCTGAAACAGATCTAGTGGCATTTGTTATTATTAAACACAATCTTCATGTTTCTATTAGTGAACTAATCCAACTTTTTTTTTTGAGGACCCCAGGTTCATTAAGCCTGGAGAACTGAAAAAAGGGGAGGAAAGTTTCTTAACCCCAAACAACTCATTGAGCAGTTACAGACAGTTAAGAAAACACCTCAGCTGTATAGTTACCCTAGGATATGATAAGTGCTACCACTGCAGACTTAGGTACTAAAATAGATGCTGTGGGAGTGTTGACTAGAGAGCTATACATTACCTTTGGGAGGAAAGGGGAGTTAGAAGGCTACACAAAGAGAGATCCTTGAAGTAAGAAAGAGCCAGGGGCAGATGGGGAAGGAGGGCATTCCAGGAAAGAATGTGATGTGAGCAAAAGTGTAGAAGGTGAAAATAATTTGGTGAATTCATGGGTCCATGATAATTCTGTCTGGCTGGAGCCTAGCTAGGGAGCTGAAGGACAGGGTCTGGAAGATCTTGAGGGTTAGATTCCTAAGGAGTCTCATCCTATAGGAAAAACTTTCCAGTAGGAAAATGAAGTGATGTGACCTGCCCTTTACATGATAGCAGCTCAGGTAACACATGGGGAAGACAGTGGGATGCAGAGAGAAGGTGTGCTAGAAAATGAGGCAGATTGAAGGCCCATGGTTGAGAGGAGCCATACAGAAGAGTTGAAATTGACAGGACCTAATAACTGCTCAGATGTAGAGGGCCACTGGGGTGGCAAGGAAGAATTTTGACTAGTTAGATGACCTACTTAGCCTTTCTGTGACTCAATTTCTTAATTTGTGAAGTAGAGGGTGATTGTACCTACTTCAGAAGGTAGATAAATTTTAAATGAGTTGGTGTGTGTAAAATACCATAAGGAATGGTATGTAGCATGCACTCAATAAATATTACTAATTATGTTTATGGTGGATAATTAATTATTATAGAGAAAACAAAAGGAAAGCAAGTTGGGGAGGCCAGGGACAGACCCATGAATTCAATTTTGGGCACATTGAATTTGAAGTGACTTCTCACGCCTACTATAACTCATAAACACTTGGAAATACTGGTTATAAATAAAAGGTTTGAGATTGATATGCATTTAAAAATTCTCTGATAGATAATATATAATTGTTTTCCTTCAACAAGAATGTCAGAAGAAAATCTCAAATTTCTCATTTGCAAAAATATAGCCATTTTCAGATCACAGAGTTCATCCACTCAGACAAAGACACAGACAGGGCTGTTCAGAAATGACTGGACCATTGGCCCACAGAAGCTCAATAATTATCATCTATTTCTTTATGAATTTTCAAAGTAAATTTCTCAAAGTCTGAAAGTCTCTAGAGAACTTACTAGCCAGAATTCCTTTGTCAAAATGTTTTGAAAAACCACAGGGGCTTCTCACACTAGAATGGGGGCTGATTAAACTCTAAATGTCCACATCTATTGACTATTTTAGTTACCATAAATGATGCAGTGCAACCCCCCCCAAATTCTTATCTCTTCTTCTGTTCCTGTTATTCTTGTGATATTAGTGGTGGAAATTTACACTGTTCCTCTAATTTTGTAATAACTCATCAGAAGTGCATGTGACTTGGATCCCTTGTTTGCTATGAAATCAGCTCTGGCCAGATGCAGAGAGCTATACCCCGGCTTCTTTAATTTATGGACATTTCCAACAGAAAATTTGGTTATCCAGATCACAACTGAATTAACATGTCAATATATTTACTTTGAGCTGCTCTTAGCAGCTTCAAAATATTAGAATATGCAACTATATTCATTCAATAGATATTTGTGTTCCATCTATTGTGTATGAAGCAAAGTGCTAGCTGTGTGTTACAGCTTGAGGTCAAGTGCCAGGTGTTGGTAATCTACAGCAGGTAAAGGGAAGCAGTATGGCTGAGTGCAAATGCGTGAAGTCTTGTGTTCAAATTCTGTCTTCCCAGCTGCCTGACTTTGCTAAGGCATTTATCCCCCCAGTCTTAAATGCAAACCAGAAGAATGCATATCTACTTCACAGGACTTTTGGACTGACAATAATGCAGAAAATATCTAGTGTAGCAGTTAGTACTAAACCCTCAGTGAATTGTTACAGGCTTCTTGCTCAGGAAGAGCTCTCCATTTTATCTTCATTATTTAGACATAGTCTCGGTCCTCTCAGTCTCCTCAGGAAGACAGGTGGTATAGCAGGTAATTAGAGTGTGGTGTGGTAATGACAGTGTGTATAACAAAATGTACCTGAGTTTCAAGGATCAAGTTAGAAATTTTTTATACAACATTAAAATAGCATAGTACCAGCTACATTTCTCCTGGAGCTTATTTTGTAACTTTGTATTAGCATCTTTGAAGGTTTCAGGACCTTAAGCACAGTTTATAAAAGGATCAGGATTTTACCATGTGCAGGCATATTCTTGTAGTAACACCTCATTTAATCCCCACACCAACACAGCAAGGTAGGGACTATTAACTATTCCCATTTTTCAGATGGGCAACCCGAGGCACAGGAGAATAAAGTTACTTGCTCAAGGTCATGTCACTAAGAAACAAGGCCTCAGATCCACGAACTCTGATGTCTGAATCTGTGCTGTGGTATAGGGATTGAACCCAGAGCTAGACAAGTGCTCTACCACTTGAGTCATAACCCCAGTTCTTCTGTTTGTATTTTTTTTAGGGGATACCCTTTCACTAATTTTGCCCAGGCTGGACTTGAACTGTCTCTTCCTCTTGAGCAGCTGGGATTGCAGGCATGTACCACCATGCCTGGTGGAGCCCACATTTCTGACCACTCATACTTCCTCTTGTTGTCTATGTTTTTCAAGTTTCATGTTGTAACCAGTAGTGACTGTCACTAATTATTTTCGAGAAAATTATACAAATCAAGGAAAATTTAGGGAAAAGTCAAGTAGAAGAAAGTAATAGTACTAGAAGAAAAATATAGTCCAGCCATTTCTTGTCTCTGAATGGAGACCTAAGAACTGCTTTCTGTTGACACAGCCTGTGCCAGTCGGGCACTGCCTATGCCCAGTTTCCAACATGGCCCAGCCAAGTACTTTTCTTGTGGGTCTATAGTTTAGAGTGTTCTGAAGATTTTTTGTTTTTGAAAAAAATAATTCCTTAAATCAGTTACATTTTTTTTCTTCTGTGGAGCATGTGTTGCAACGTTTTCCATTTTCTCAGCTGAGTCCCTGGTAAAGCCCATAGTGTTTTGCAGGAAGAGGAGGGATTGTCCCAGCTCACCACACTCTCCACTAGAGGGCCTGTCCCTGAGATTTCAATTCTATGCACACTGAGGAAAAATAAAACAAAACAGAACTCCCCACACCCAGCACACCTCAGTCTGACACATGATCCTGTTCCATTGAAAGAATGCTTTGATTTTATAGGAAAGCTGTGAAGGGAAAAATAAGACCCAGCTCATTTTCCTGAAGGAGAATATGAGAACTGAGCCCTGAGGAGTGGGGTGAGTAGCTTACATCTTCATGAATCAGAAAATTCACTGGAAAGAGACAAAAGCAGGGCAGTCCTGAGCCCGAGGACACCTGAAGAATTCCTGTGCACTGCCTCCATCCCAAGCTTGCTCTTCTGGAATGCCTAAAGAACTCTTACTTCTGGTTCTTTATTTTTCAAACTTTACACTGGGGCATTGGGACACTAGGAATTTGTATACATCAGGGAGAGGAAGGGGCAGTTTGAGGACGAGGGTATTCAGAAGTGACTTCTCCATTCACCTACAGGGGGAGGAGGGATTTTATATTAGGAGAAACACAGCTTGTTCAGTGCCACTTTGAAACTTCTTCCTTCTTATGACTAAGTCCCATTATTCCTTCCCTCATGTCCCTCCTCAGGAAACTGCCTCCTTCTGCTTGGCTCAGTGCTTCCGCTGACCTCTTAATTGGTCTAACACCAAAAGTCTTTTCCCTCCAAATGCCCTCACACCAAGGCAGCATCTGATATCTGCATCCTTATATCCGATAGATAATTTGGTTCCCCTGGACTTATTGACTTCTACTCATTTCTACTTTCAATATATACCTATTTGAGCTGACTGGTCACTTTCAATTCTATTCAACATCACTTATTGCTCACACACAGAGTACAAGACATTATGTTGGATGGTGGTGCATGCACAGGGAAATAAACCAATGAATAAAATTCCTTAAGTAGTGTATGATGTAGTGAGGAAAACAAATAGTTTTTTATGCTGTAAATTAGAATGAAATGGGTTATACTGACAGAAGTACTCAAGGGGGGAGTACAAAAAGAGCTGCGGTTAATTTCAACTGGTGTTATAGGGAAAGCTTCGTAGAGGAGGTGCCATTGGAGGTGGGCTTTAGAGGACGTGTAAATGGGCAGGAGTAGGGCACCCATTCTGGCTGAGACACTCTGTTACACATCAGCAAGGGACTATGAGCATGTGTGGTGGATCTGGGGAGGTGCCTGGGATATACCCCAGAGACCTAGGCCTCTGCTCATTTTTTATGCTTTCCTCACTTGGAGGCACTCTGTAAAGATTCTGTCCAAATCCTTTCTGTCCTTAGATATTCAGCATCAGTCTTGCCTCCTTCATTAGGCCTTTTCTGACTGCTCTAACTGCAGTTCAGGACTTAGCTGTAGTGTCAGTAATGGAATTGCCATTTTAGCCAAACAAGAGAAAGACATGATGCTCACCTTATGTTTTGGGGCCCTACAGCCCTAACAATGGTGCTAGAAGGTTCTATGGATCAATTAATTGAGACTGACAACTTTATTCTACCTGAATGCAGCTCATTTCTACTGACGAACCTGGGATTGTTCATGAGGATTTTAGGATTTAGTTGTTTAGGTTTGCTAACACAAAAGGCAAACATTTCCTCAAACAGTCACATGATTGTCCTGCTCAGCTAGGGATGATCCCTCTTTGTGACTACCCAGCTGGGGTTATGAGAGGTTGTGGCCTCAGCTTGAACTGCACGCCTCTCTGAACTGAGTCTTAGGAACTAGGATGAACACAGTTTTATCATCTCCAAAGTTCCCTCTGGCCAATGACTGTTCCTTTAAGGTCTTTTGTTTTGATGGCTTGGTTACAAGCAGTGCACTGAAGTGTCAGAAATTCCTTTTTGGGGGTGGGGTGCTGGGCATGGCATTTTCTTCTTGCTGAGGTTGCCTGTAGTGATGCAGAAGGATAGGTTAGCCTTAAAGAAAATCTTACAAGGATTCTGATGTAGAGTCCAAAGAAAACTGCTCCAGCAGGCTAGTCCTACAGAAAGAGCACTTTCTAACACTCCATTTGAAGAATGTGTCTCATGGCTGAGAGCCACAGTTCTCACAACTTCCCATGCAGCAGCATCATTTACATTTGGGCTGATAGAGGCAGGTGTGCCCTTGCATGATAGTTCCTGATCGAAGGCGTGAGTGGGGCTGACATGTAGCCCACAATCTGCTCATCGTGCCATACACTCAAGGGAGGGGCTGCATCTGCCTCAAGGAAAGGGGCTTTTCCAACCCCTCCAGCTATTGCAGGGACTGATGGAGGCCATGTACCAGGGTTCCTCATATAGGTTGAGTTTGAGCAGAGCATTCTAGCTAGTGTACTCTGGCATGTTACAGGTATACACATAGTGATTCCTCTCTTCCCATAGCTGTTGGTCAAGGTTGTCACCTCTAAATATGAGAATCCTCTAGCCATGTGCAGCCTCCAGATATGAGCAACCTTACCCAAGTGTACCATAAAAATATCATTTTCCACATGTGATGTGTTGTGAAGAAGTTTGGGAAGCACTGTATTAGGAAACCTGCCTTCTCATTCATCCAGAAGGGAGCTAGTCAGAAAGAGCAAGCATCCATGTGTCCACGGGGGACAAGCTGTGCCCAGCAACAGAAGGTTTCTTGCTTTGCTTCTTACATGTTGGGATGTGGTGTTTTGCAGTCTCCTGGTAAGAGCTGGAAGAGAAGGTCTAGGTCCAGGGCACCTGCTACGATCAGTGGTTGTAACTCAGTTTCCAGAGGGAGAGCGATGCCCACCAGCCTAGACGACAATTTCATAGCCTGAAGTCCTGGGAGGTTTGCACTCCTGTATGATGGTTTTCCCCATCTGTGCATGAGAAGGAAATGTGAGAACACATTGAAACTGAAAGATACAGCTGGGGAATTTCAGTCTCATGAGGTCCCAGGAGAGTTAAGCAAATGGCACAAGGGATGTCTTAGATCTCCTTCATGCTGGGGAAATATAGGGTATCAGGACCTTTTTCTCTACTGAGTCCTTTGCTCAGGGGGGCTTCAGCCACCCATTTGGGAACCCCTGGGAACTATTTAGCCCAGATAATAGCAGTAGGAGGAAATGGGGGTATTTGGCACTGCTCTTGACTATAGTGTTGAGACAACATCAACGTTTGTTCCTAGTTGAGCCCTAATTGTTTCTGTACCCCCAACATTCCACTTTTACCTATACATAGAAAGAAGTAACTATATCTAGTCATCCACTAATATCTCATGTGATCTAGTCATTCAGAGTGCTATGAACTACTTTCCCATTGGTTTAAGGAGTCTTGGGTTTTAAATTCAACTAATGGATGGGGTACACCAGATGGGAAAACAGGGAAAAAGTCAGGCAGGGTTTACCTTGTCAGAGTTCTGCACTGTGGAAAAATCGTGTTCATTGGCCCTTCATTGGAAGGAAGCACCTGAAAAACATCCATCTTCCCCTCAGAGAGGGTACAGAGGCCAAACCTTAGGAGTCTCCCTCCCTAATTCCTTCCCTGCCATCACCCCTCCCTGGTCCCACTTTTATTGAATGGCTTCCTCTCCTGCCCTCAACTCTAGTTCCATTCAACTTTGGAGAGGATCAACATCAGGAGGGCGTGAGGGGGAGTGGGTAGCAGTTAGGCAGAATTTTGGGGCAAAAAACCTCAGGAGCTAAGAGGAAGGGTCTTCATGCTTCAGACTGAGTCTTGCTCAGTCAGGACTTTAGCTTTCCATGGGCTTTATGGGTCCAGAACACTTGTCAGTTCAAGCACAGAACCAGACTGACCAGGAGGACCTCAGTTTTCCCCTTCCCTTCATGCAGACTTCAGGGAAGGAGGCTGGTGGAAGCACAGATGAAGATGATTCAGAACACAGGTGAGGGACCAGCAGGCAGGTAAAAGGCAAGTAGGAGAGAGGGGTGTGAGAGAGAGTGACAAAGAGTCTGAAGAAAGCAAGGTGTGCCTGCTCTTAGATCAGGTAATATAATCCAGGGAGGGTGTCCTTCTGTCAGTTTGTGCTCTTGGAGCCACTTTAGCAACTGGTTTACCATGTCAGTGGCTCCATAACAGCCCTCACCTCATACAAGGGGCTTCCTTGTTTGGCTCCTCTAAGTGATGATTCTTAGTCATGAGTCACTGACATCTAACCCGTGCCCCTCCATGCAGAAGCTTGGCCTGAAACCATGAAGTGACAATTGACTACATATCTGTCTTCATGAAGAGACTCATGGCATCATTCCCCTGACATTGTGTTTCCTGGTGGGACTTTCTAGGCAACAGCAAGCAGAAAGCAATGGTTGCCCTGACTATGTCCTGGTGGTGGGGTGAGGGTGTCTATGAGTAGCATCAGCTTACCTTTTGCTGGGGAATTTCATCATAGAGTCTGGACTCTGCTGGTAGGATATCTCTTGAACCTGTGACGTATGTGTATATTGTATTCTTTGAGACATCATCTATCACAAATAAACAGAACCACAGTCTGTCAAAGGTGGCGGGTTGTTAGAGATTATATAGTCCTATGTTCTCTTTTTATGATAGAGAAATAAAGTTCCAAGAGTTAAATGGTTCCCATCCTACTGAGATGGAGGCTTAGATCCTCCAATAGTCTCTCTCGTCCAGGAGGCACTTGGCTCAGGTCTCACCCAGAGCTCAGTGGGAATTCTCTTCTAATCTAGAGTCTAGCTTAGGTCAAAGAGAATCTCCCCAACCTGCACGGAAAGTCAAAGGTAGCTCTTCCACTTCCACCCAAGCTCTTCCTTAACTTCTCTTGCTGTTAGCATTGATGGCCTTACATGGCTAGTTGACTGTTCATGTCAGGGTCTTAGTTGCTTAACTTGATTGAGTCTGTGTTACACACTGTGCCACATTCTGGTGAATATCTTATAGCAGCCACTGGAATGTTAAGTACATAATAGACACTTCACAAACATTCATTAATTGTTTGCTTGATCGATAGACACTATTAAACATTTATTAAGCTTTTTCTATGTGCCAGGTTCTTTTTGAGGCCCCAGAGAAGTAAAGAAAGAAGTGAAATGAGCCCCCTACTTTAAGAATTTATGAGCTAAAAGAGTCATTCATTCTTGTGTACTTTTATTTTATTTTTTGGTACTAACACAGAACACTTTAGGGTCAAGTTGAAAAGATATAGCTAGATTTTGGGTCTTTATATTCCAGGGCACCAAAATATCCACAGATAATGGGTCTGGTCTAGCAGTATCACAGGGTTTCAACATTTCAGACTTAGTCCTATCTCATCCCCATCCCCTTCCCTTTGGTGAGGGAACCAGACCGAGTACTCTCTCTTATCTTATTTGTAGGTGCAAAGAATAGCCTTTCTCTCTCCAAGAGGCTGTGAAAGATTGGAGATAAATGTTTCTTTGAGGAAATTTATAGATAACCCATGGCCCGAGAGGCTATGACTTTTCTTCTTTGGAAGTCATTTGAGTTATGATGCATGTCACAAACCCCCTTCCCCTAGAATGCCTCCTTGACACCATACTCAGGCCTGTCAATTATAAATATAGTAGCTAACATTTACTGAGTACTTACTATGTACCAGGGACCAGGTCAAGTATTGCATATGTGTTATTCCATTTCATCCACTTAATAGACATAAGCAGCAAGCCTCATTGCTATGCTTTACAACTAAGAAAACTGAAGCTTATGGTGATAAAATAACTGGTTGCAGACAAATGGTCCAAATGGACTTCACCCCCAGTGAAGTGCTTATAAAGCACATGCTGAATCTTAACCACTCCACTGAGAACTCCCATCTCTTCCAATTGCTACTTGGGGAACCTAGTGACTGAGGACATACCAGAACTCTTGGTGAAGGTCTTCAAGTAGGAACCTGAGGAAGCAGAACCAAAGAAGAGTTAGGAATATGGAAGCAGAAGTTCTGTGTTGTTTATTTTGATTGGTGGAAAAGGGAGATGTTGGGTAGATATGTAGTTACAGGGAATGAGGTAGTACAATGATCCCTTAGGAGTCTAAGATCAAGTTTGCATTCCTCCTTCCCTTCCCTTTCCTGCCCAGGCTGGCCTCAAATTCTGGGCTCCAGTGAGCCTCCTGCCTCAGCCTCTTGAGTAGCTGGGACTACAGAGGTCCATCACAATGCCCAGTGGATTAACTCTTCTGAATTGAGAGTAGTAAAATTACAGAAAGATCCAGAGGGATCCATAGACCCATGACAACCATGGACTACAAAATTAGTACATACCCCTTAAGGACTTTCCAAAGGTTGGAATAAAGTTGGGAGTGACCCTAGAGACTCTAATCCAAACATTTCACTATGAGGACACTGAGCCAGAGAAGTGAACACATTAGTACAGTGTAGTGCAGCTTCTTAATGGCAGTGCTAAACTTGAACCCAAGTCCTGGGCCCACCAAAGCCCATTACGACGTCTGCAAACAGAAGCTGCGGTGAGTTTTGACTGTCAGGAAACAGGCCCCGGAGGCTGAGCAGGCTTGTCCACATTCAGGGCCACTATCAAAATGCAGTGCCTCCAGGAAGTGCCAAAGTGCCTAGGGAAACTGTAAACTATACTTCCTGCTATTAAAAGTCAGGAAGTAAATCAGAGAGTTGAACAGGTGCCGGAAAATACCCTGAAATGCTTAGCATCTCTCAGAAGGCTTTGGTCTCTTTCCCAGTGGGCTTCCTGGGAGATGTCCCTGAAGGATGAGGTTCAGCAAAAAGGAGGCACATTCTCCTGGAGATGAGGCCAAGTTCGCGCCTCGAAGCTCTTCAGAGTGATTTCCAAGACTCACCAGGAGAGATGGACAGGGCTAGTTACCTGCACAGAGCTGCTGGCTAGAGATGAAGTCAGAATTGTTGCTGACAGGGTTCCAGGCTGTACATGTGTAAGTCAGCTCTTGGTCCACAGAGGTCTGCAAGATCTGAAGGACATTGCCTTCTCCTGGGGGGCTCCAGCTGTAGGTCACATTCTTTTCTTCTTTCTCCATAGAGCATGTCAATGTGACATTACAGGTATTGTTCACAGATGTCATTAAACTCTGTGTAATTTTTGGTTTCCCAAGCCGACCTATGAGCAGAAAACATGTGAGCCTGTGGTAAGTTCATGCTGGCTTGTGAGAAACACTTGTTAAATTTTCAGAAAATTTGCAAGATGGTTGTTAGATGTAGGTATCATTAAAAACTAGATTATGAAAACTTACAATTAAATAAATTATATTATAAGATTAAAATTCATTACTTCCACATTATTTTTGATATTTTACTATTGTCCACACTCTTATGGTGACTTATATCTCTTATTATATCTGTCCTTTGTAATGATGTACAAGTGGGCATGTCCTTTTAACTCTGCATGTCTTAAAATCAGCATGATAGGAACCTTTTTAACACGGAAATTGTCAAATGCTATAAATTTGAGCTTGATTTATCATTGGATTAATTGTGGCTACAGACTCAAGAAAGCAATGGAAGCAGGATTACTAAATTTGAAAGTGCCTCATGTTTGTAGCACACAATACACATGAAACATTCTTCCAATACTTGAAAACCATTATCCAACACGGTAAAAAAAGTTTACATCATTGATGAACAAATGAAGCCCCAACACACACACACACACACACACACACCACACACACACACACACACACGTATACACCTTTGTTAAATCACTTTTTTCCCGTTAGTTAACTGTTATTCATTTTAGAACTACAGTCGTTTAGAACTACACTTGCAAGTACAGGTTAGTTA